GGCCATCTGCCGAGGCCAACTAGGGTTCAAGGAGACAGAAGTGGACAAAGAAACTAAACAACATCATTTCCTCAGCAGCAGATATGTCTCCCTGTGCATCGAACAGTACGACCATTGTGCTCCTAAATGACGCCTCGGCTCCTTTGGGAAACAGCAGTGGTTGCTTCTTATCTTGACCTGATGTGAAGGATGTTCTCCTGCATGCTCCACTGAAGTCATCTTGTTTTAGCCTCGGCTTAGAAGGCCTGCTATATATAACCACGGCCTCACAGCAGCTACGTATATATATTCAAAGCTGCAAAAAGCAAACTGGCAGATTTAACTTTTAACTTATCTTAACATAAAATTAAAATGAAACCATCCTGATTTTTCGTTGCATCTGTTCAACTCTTTCTCTGGATTTGACTTTGTGTGGCTACAACATCTAGAGATGACAACATAAATCAGAAGCCAGGGTAGATTTGCTTTGGCAATACAATAACTGCTTTAAAATGCTGTTCTTTCAACACCGCTGAAGATCTTTGAGACGATTTAGTAATTGACTGCTCTGTGGATTCAGTGTAATCATGGCTTAAGTTTTATATGATCCAGACATTCAATTATACCTGTGATGCCAGCGAGTAACTGGTTGGAAGTAGCAAGAAACAAATATTTGTTTAATATGGGAACAAATAATCCTAAAATCCCACTGTAGCTTTCCTCACATCCAGTGTCGTAACAATCCTCGTTTTATCTCAGTGCATTCAGGTTCGTTAAGCAATCTGGCTTTTTGATCCAGAAATGATGATGGATGATGTTTAAATTCTCTTGTTATTTTAAATTTACCTCCATTTCCTGCAATATGCAGCAGTTAGTGGATTCAAAAGGATTCCTTAACCTGAAAAATTTATACAAAGGGATTTTATCAAAGCTCAGAACTGGTCCGTGCTTATTCAGGAGGCTCCTCTCATTTGTTCTCAAACTATGCTACAGGTAACACGGATTAAGCAGAAGTAAATATAATAGGAACAAGCTCAAACAACCTTGTTTTTTAGATTTTAAACACACATAATGTCCTAAATAATTTTTATGTATTTAATTAATAGAATTAAAATGTATAACACAGAGCAGCGGGTAGCACCTTGCAGCAAGAAGGTTCCGGGTTCGATTCCCGGCCCGGGGTCTTTCTGCATGGAGTTTGCATGAAAGTTTGTTTGTCCTGTTGTCTCTGTGTTGCTCAGGGATAGATTGGCGACCTAGGTTTGTTTTACCCCGCTGTCACCCATTTACAGCTGGAGATAAACACCTGCACCCCTCACGACCCCAGCAGGCATCAGCGTGACGGAAAATGCATGTATGGATGGTTGTAGTTAGCCAATATGGTGTATTAAATACGACTTAGACAAAATAAGTGAAAAACCTTATTAGGGATTCACTGACAAGGATTGAATAGAAACCAAATAATATGTTGGTATGAATTTTTGGTGTAATAAGGCTTACTGTCTTTTGTTTTTCATTATTAAGGTGTGAAAATTTGAATTTCATTAATAAAAAGATATTTGTGCAAAAAAAAAAGGATCATCATGCATCATAAAACATCAAATAATCAATTACTTCACATTAAGTATAAAAGCACTGATATAGCCTTTTTTTCAAATTAAAGAAGGAAAAAATAACGAAGCCCCTCCCCTGCTCCAGTGTCTTTAAAGTGGGTTCCACTTCCTGTTGGATGAAGCACACTCAGGCTGTGTCTTCTAAGGATGCAGTCTACTTGGACTGGATCCTTTTGAAGTCCTTGAAAATAAGGAGACCGGAAGAGTTTTGGCTGTAATTCAAACAGGTCTAGCCTTTGCCGATTTTAACAACCGTACGCTCTGTCGCTTAGCAACCATGATAGTTGACACACAAAGCAGGAAAAGAATGAATACCAAACTTTTTAAAACTCTTTTTTTTTTTTTCTTTTTTTATTGTAAAGTGAACAAAGACTTCACTCATGTGAATCCAGAGTGGAATAAAGGTGCCAACCACCGGGAGCATGAACAAATAAAAGCCAATGTAATGATAGAAACCTTAGTCAGTTAAATAACAAGCTGCTATTTTCAAATATTACTGTAAAAATGTCCATAACTGTATAATGGTTATTTTATTCTCCAGGTGCACAGTTTATATTGTTAAAAAACTTTGCAGTACAGTATTTTATTGTTTATATTTTAACTCTACACTGTTATGTTATTCTTATACATTTTTCTAAAGTCCACATTTGTGTGACCATTTTCAATAATCTTTCTGCTGCTGTAAATTTGCCCATTGTGGGACAATAAAGATATTTTCTATTATATTCTAAAAAAGGGGTAAAAAGATCTAAGTAAATCTATACAATGTATGTATAAAAATAAATCTGCAAAATCTCTAATATTCAACAACAAAAAATACTTAGTTAAGCAAATTGTGCAAAACAGCAATAAAAAAAATTACTATGACGTATATGTCCTTTGAATCTGGCCTTCGAGGGAAACATCCCATGAACTTGAACAAAGCAAATATCTCATAGCACCATTTATTATCAGTCTGTGACTTTGTAAATGAATAAACTAAGCTATATAATTCATATTGAAAAGCAGATTAAAAGAAATATTACTAATTCTGTTCGTACTTATTCCATGCAACCATGATTTTCATTAATTGATGTCTCCCTCAATGTTAAACCACAATGGAAGAGAATTATAAAAACTTAAGAAGTTGAGACTATAATCTATAACAAAGGATGTTAACTTCACATTTAGACTAAAGTCTGTGTTGATAAACATGTCAAACATTGTAATAAAGCATCCTTATAATGTAATGCAACTTTTTACTCAATCAAAACTATTCATTGGTCATTGTTCCCTGGTGTATAAGGCCTTAGCCGAAAGGTTTCTGTTTCTGGAGCTCAGGGAGGGAACACAGCCCACTCCCCTCCCCTCCCCACCATAGTGGGACATATCTTGACCCAGGCCAAAGGATCTGAGCCCTTTATGGTTTTATGACAAAGCTACATTTCTGCTGCACTGGTACCTTGCGGTTGCAAGCACACCCACTTTTCCACCAGATCCTATACAATTTCTCCTGTCTTTTTATTTTCAATATGCACCCCTGATGTTGGCAAAACAAGAAGTCTTTTTACTCCAGAAGGAATTGGATGAGCTGAGGGAAACATTCAGGAAAGGGTTGAAAGACAAAGAGTTACCCACTACACCACCATGAGAACAATAATACTCCAACCACCTCTCCTAGGACACCTTTTTGTTTTTGGTATCTGTAATTATTAACAATACCTAGGTAGATGTCTTGTCAACCTTTCACTTTTCTTTAAACTCTACCTTTTTGCCTTCAAAAGTCTGTTCATGTTAAAATTTAAGCTCATCAATATAACTTTGAATCTTTCAGCAGATGTTGTGCAGTTTCATTACACATTTGCACATTTCTTGCATTGTGCTATGAGTTCTTACTTTTCAATATGTCTTAATGAACAGTTGATTTCCACACTTTCACCAACAGTAAGGCGCAGCGGGTGGGGGGCACCATTATTATATTACTTCTGAAATGTAGCAATAAAATATCTAATTAAGGTTTTTCAACCAAACTCTTCATCTTTGTAAATAAGTACATTTCCATGAATGTTTCCACGTTTAAGTCCATTACTCCATGATTATGTGTGATATGTGATCTGACAGCCTTCTGTAGGCATCAGTTACTCATAATAAGAGATAAAATGACTAATTAACACAGTGCAGTTTTCTAAATGTGTCCTTAGTAATAGTGCTTAACAACTTTTCAACAAGTATGTGTAACCTCAGTACACGCTTTCATATAGTGTGGTTCGATTCTGCGTTGTGTTAATGATGGCCAGGAGACAGGGTGAGTTGAAATGTTTATCTGTGCAGAACAGAATAATAACGATCAGCGATCAGGCTCATCACAGCCGGTACAGCACCTTGCGCCCATCTCTCATGAACTGGCAACGAAATGTCCGAGTTC